TACATGACGTACCAAACCCATGGCATCTTCCAATTTCAGATCAACAGTGTCTTACAGAGTTCATTTTGTACCAGCACTCTAATTCAGTGCATTCTGAGAGTTAAAACTTCTGTTAGGAAGAGGCAGTAATGAGCAGCTAGACATGTACCAGCATACAACATGCAGCTTCATCTGAAACTTTTGAATTGTGGAATTAAATCAAAATGATGCTCTCAAGCAGCATATCTGACCAAGACTAAAGGGATGCTGACATCAATAAAATTCTGTAAAACAGTCTTAACACAGAATGGCACTTTTGAGTGATCTTATGCAACATGGTGAAGTACATGAATTGCAATGGTGTAATGATGGACCGAGTGAAGAAAAGATGCTCTCACAATGAGACTTGAGACAGACGAATTATTAGTCAAAAGGCATCTTATGTGATAATTTTAATACTTAAAAAAGGTAATAGCTTTAAAAGCTCTCTACTCCACATTTTAGATAAAAGCTCTCACTTCTGTAAATACTAATCAGTATCTCTAAAGTAAACCCCTTATATTGAGTTGAAAGAAACACGAGTCAGTTGAACCGCTAAGGGAGTGTAGTCAAATTTCTGCTTCACTGACCTTACAAATCTTCAGGTGAAGATGTTACTGCTTCAGACTCTGTATTTTGCTTTGCCATGGTCATTGATAACACATATGTGCTGAAAAAAACATAACACTGATTGCAACAGCATAGTTGATGACATTATTAATGATTTGTTCAGAAAAACTTTTGCTTGACCAATCTAATGATCTTGTAATGACCCCTTCCTTTCCAGAGACCTCAAATTGAATTCTGATTTCACTTTCTAGCTACCGCAACTTTCCCCACTTGCAATTCCCAGCTTTAAGGTCCACTCCTGGAAGTACCACAGGAAGCAAAGGCAAGGCTTGCACATTTTTCCATCATTATCCCACTGAGAAAGGGGGCAGGCCACATAGCAGTAAAAGTCCAAACCTGTTTGAACTGTAGCCATGTTTCACTTTTTACTGCTCCATCTGGACACACTGGGAATGGTGGACTAGTGAAGTCCTAGGCTCACAGAAGATGGAAGTGAAACAGAGGTATGACATACACTCTTAGGGGGAAAAGATGGGAAGAAACTATTCACAGTGCTGAGCAGTGACTCTCTGGGATTATTTCAGGTTTTTCAGGAAGTTCTACACTCCCTGAAAGGAACCTAACCATGACATTAAGGCCCCAGGGATGAGGGAAATTATGGGATATTCAAGACACCCTGGAAAACTAAACAAGTGATATTTTAAACTATTTTTTTTAAGAAACTTACGTTTAGATCTCTGAAGTGCTCGTTGTAGTCTAAGGCATAACCTACCACAAATAAATCTGGAATTTCAAATCCGTAATCTGTATTGAGACAAATAACAAACACCATCAATACAGGAACAGTGGCAGCTATATAACCCTTAAATTCATGTGTTGGTTCTCTAACAAGCAAACTGTAGATTTATGCAGTCAGTTGAGGTTATGTTACTTTTGACTCTGAGATGTCAAGGTCAGCAGTAGCCCTATCATCAGTTCCCACTCATAGACTGTGACAAGGATGTGAATGGCAGTGAGAAGTAGTGTCCAGTTGTCACTGGCACAACAGATACGTTGTGGAAGGAAGCCAAAAATCAGAGCTGAAAAATTCTGCCTACGTTTGGAAGCTCCATTAGTATATGTGTGTGATGACAACTGTCCAGTATCATACTAATGATGAAAACAATGTAAAATTTTAATTCAGAAGTAACTTTCAGAGATTTACACATTTTCTTCTGAGAATAGCAAGAACTATTTTGCCTATTATGCTACTCAAAGATGTCAAATGCTTCTTAAATTAAAGCCCCAATCTTCTGAAGACTCATGCACATGCTTAAAAAGTAAATGCATGCAGTGTAGCTGAATCATACAACTCACACACTTGAAGCTAAGCACAGGCATGTGTCTTTTTGTGTGTGAGGGTCTGTGCAGCATCAGCATATATAAAACAAGTTAAGACTCTCCAAATTGTTCACTAAGTAACTAGAGCAAAACACAGCCTTATGGACACAAAAATAGCTCAGCATAAAAGATTTTACACATACTCAAGTAAGGAATTTATTCCATTGTTAAAAATTGTGGGTAATAGACTCTTTGGAATCATAAATTTGGGTGAGGAACTGACACAGCACTGTCAGCGATTTACAAGAGACATCTCTGATGCTTTATAAAATTCATCACCATATGAATAAATAAGGATAAAACCAGTTTCATTTTACAAGTTACTACATAAAAATATTAAGCTACACTTCATGAAGTAATTTCATTGCATTTTTTGTATGTTTAACATTAGCAAATCCAGGCAAATGTACACTTAAATTAACTGGATTAAATTCTAAATGTTAAAAATACCACTGTATAAAAAGTTGTACAATTAAATGTTTAGGTGACCGTTCAGATTACTGGGCTAAAACTACAGTACCATGCCCAACATTAAGTAACTTTTGGTTCATAAAGTTTCCCTTCCTCCCACAATCCAAATCAAGGCCCTTCATGCTGCCTCCTGGTACTCACCTGCCTACTCTCCTTCCACCCTCCTCCCCAGCTCAGCTGACCACAGCCTTCTTCAGTAGCAAATACTGGTCGATCTCTTCTAGATGGATCTATTCTTTTCAGTATTTATCCACATACCTGTTATTACATCATTTATTCTAATAAGTCTAACATTACAATAGCTTGGTATAGCTCCATTTACAGCTTCATCATAGCACAGTACAAGTACCAATAATTCCGAGAGAAGTGGTGCTGGTGTGATATAAACAGAGCAGCAGGAAGAAGTTTCAAAAGCCCAATCTATCCTTTGTTTTTTGGAGGGTGGGATTTAATGATAACATCATCACTGATATTATCAAACACCTCTCATGTTCAGATGGAATCAATCCTGCAGCTCCTCCGAAGAAATGCAGTGAGGATCAGAACTTCCCTATAAAGTTAGGATACTGCAGAAAACATCAGATTATAAGGAGGCTAGGCTTTCCAAACCACAGTTATACAAATCCTTTCACGGCATCCCATAGTCCCATTGACAACTGATATGTTACAATGCTTCTAGCAGTCCACAGAGTGATATTAAAGGCAGTGGTAGAATAAGTGGTAACTTTTTGTACTGTCATATAACAGATTTTCACAACACCACTTACAATCTGGTTTGTACCCATCAGGCCGAGATGTTCTTTTCACCAACAAACTGTAATTAAAAACAAAATAAACCCCATGTAAATCTAGGTATTTACCTGAATAACAAGCATAAAACCTCTTCCCTTTATTAAAAAACTTCCGAGCCATGTGAATCACAGTTCTTATTCTGCTTCTCCCAACAACGTCCTGATGGCAGGGAAGTGATGGGTGTGCTCCCCTTCAACGTCCATCAGTGCCAGTCTTAAATGGCTGAAGGGTCATTGCCACTGCAGAACAATACAAGAGCATTTCCCCTCCTTTCCTCCACCCTCCTCTTAGTGACTCAGGCAGCTCCACTCCAGAGCTCCCCATGCAATATTACAGCATCGAATTAAAGGAGGTTCTTGGAATGGGAACCTCCACTGGAAAATATGTCAGGCTAGACTAATTAATTACTAAGTTCTGTGATTGTTTTACTCACCTTGCCACTTTAATCATTTTTGGCTTGTATTTTTCTATATTATTAAGCAGAACCTTCATAGTCCTTCCAGTTCCAACAATATCCTTACAAAACATGAAAAATAGAACAAGTAAAAAACAAAGGAAAGCTGAAAAGAGGAAATCTGGACAATGACTGACCAGTTCCACCTTCTTATTCTGTGGAAATGATGTATTTTTTCCCAGTGCATTGTGAGCCACTCCAAAAAAGGTTATAACTGAGCTCACACTCTTTGAAGCAAGCACTTTCTACTCATAACATAATCGGTTAAAGGACTGCCTGCTTCCTCTTGAAAACAGCTGTTTCTAGTACTTGGGATGTAACATGGGACTGGAGATGACTTCACTGGGCACTGCAAGGATGCAGGGATCAGACTTTTCATACTATGCTCAAGACTACAGTATGTCAGCATCTCTCTATGTCAGGGTTAAATGTGCCCCATTTGTTGTTTTATTAGTCCACTATGAATGAGTGTTCTCCAGAGCTGCTGTACCCAACCTGATCTGAATGAGATCAGTAGATACCTGGCTACAAAAAAGACCATGACACAGAGAGCAGCTGTTGGTCCTGAACTCTCTGGGTGCGGATTTTTCACCTTGACCTCTGCTCCCCAGCTATCTAATACCGTTACCAAAATTTGTTGTGGATGTTTTTCATTTCAGTTAGTGTTAGCAAACACGCAGCTCCTAGCAGCTATGCAGGCAACCAGCTATCTCTGTGGCTGATGACTTTTTTCCCACCTTTGCTACAAAAGACATGCTACCATTTATATATTTTCTTCATGATACTGTCCAGCCTACTTCCCACACAACCACATTGGGCCTGAAATGCTAGTCAGATCCTGATGTGCTCCCTAACCATCCCAGTTGTTTTTCTAATGATTTAAAAGACAAACACCTCCCTTAATTAAGCGAGAATTTGCAGCACTGGTGAGGTGATACATTCTCTTTCTCTACAACTGAACATTTGTTGCTCTACATCAGCAATGTACCCATGATGGGCCCTCCCCAGGGGACACTGCAGGATGCAATGCTAAGGAGACTTGAGAGAATGACTGACATTCTCAACCAGTGTGTGAACAAGCCCGCAGTTGTAAAGCATGTGTAGGGCTATGCTACTATTTCAAAGTCATGCAGCTGAGAAGTGCAGGGCAACACTGCAGTTGATTCATTGTCCTCCAAGGAACAGAACAACTTGCAGAACAGGAGTTGGTGAAACCATGGGAAAAGCAAATCAAATGATGCAGAAACAAAGACTCCCTGGTATCACAAGGCAGAGTACCAATTAGGGTGGCAGCAGTGCACGTCATGCAGTTGCAAGAAGACTGAGAGGTCATTAAACAAATCAGCCCCTCTCCCTCTTCATTACTTCCTAGCTAAAGAAGTGTAAACACAGACAGGTTTTAGAAACTGAACACACAGTGATGACTTGGCTATGTGACTTTATCCAAATGAATATGACATAAGCACCCAACTTACCTCCACAATGAGGACATTCTGAAAGAAACAGAAAGGAATACAGTTACACAATATTCAGAAACCAAAAGAAACAAATGCTCGAAAAAGTGAAATGAAGATGGTGCAACACGGCAGGACACATGGAGTTTCCTGTTTCATTTCTGTGCCCTGAAAAAGAGTTAGCCATAAGAGCAAGCCCTGCTGTCAGGGACTATCACTTTATTCAGCTCTATCTAGATTACCCTATCTGTGCATCCCAAATGGGATGATCTTCACTTCACTCCAGTGTGCCTGGCTGTGTACTGCAGTGTACTCTATAGTTCACTAAAATAATATTTCCAATTTTAATGTGAGATGACAACAATAATATTCTTACTCAGAAATAAATGGTCTTCCTCTCTCCCCCCAGACCCCAAAAACCTCACAGTAAAGGATTACAGGCTAAGTTGTGCCACCCATTCTCATACTGTGAAGCACCCTCTTTCTCTTCAAATACTGCAGCTGAAATCAATAGTGTTACTTGAAGGGAAGTGGTTCAGTCAAGAGCAGTGATGTCAAGACTTATGACAGCATGATCACATAGGCTGATCTTTTTGCTGAAATGGTTCCAGGAATTACAACGACTTCTGTTCTTCTATTAAAAGCAGCAATAAGAAGTCATGTCCTTATTAGGAGAAATAAAAATCTGCTTGTTAGTGAGCATTACCATATGCATGTTCGAAAGAGTGGACTTTTATGACCTACTTTCTGAGGTGAAACCTGCAGTAGCAAGAGGAAAGTAGTTTCACAAATACCTGTATCTATGTATGTATGTATGTATACATCTTACATGCATATGCACATTGTATGTCCCACAAAACTATGACAGAGAGTTTCATATCCTTGCAGTATTCACCAGACTAGCTTACAATCCACTTCTTTTCTACCTATTCTGTTGTTGGCATTGTTACGTACATAACATGGAGACAAGTCTAACGTCCTTTTGAATCACAGAATCCCAAGGTTGAGTTCTGAGAATGACTCAAACACCATGGAGAACAGGAGTGTGAAGGGAGTGTGCTCATAAACAGCACACCTTATACAGTTTCATTAACTGATATGTACATTGTACACCTTTTAATCTTCAAAACAGAAATTAGTAATATAGATTATCCATATTTATATTCATACTGCAGTTCCTCATATCAATCACAGTGCTTGGTAGGGAGACATAGCATGCTTCATGCATCAACCACTGCAGAAACATGTTACCACACACTGTATTATACCTGATGCTTCTGAAATGGCAAAACACTTGGTAAAGGTGTGGAGGGAACTCCAGGCAGTAGTTCAGCAGTTGTCAGCAATGGAAATATCGCTCAAGAAAGCCACTAATTTAGACTGAGCTCTGGTGGAATGTGTATTAATCTTGGAGGGTGGCTCCTTTTTGGTGTTTTCATAACAGGTTTCACTGGTGGTTATCCTGCTCAGCACTCCTGACTTTCAGCCTCTCAGCTGCTGACACAAACAACTCTGGATCTGAAAGACCTAGTCCTGTGGAGGTAAAAAGTCAAAGGCCTCTTAACAACAAAAGTTCAAAGATGCCCTGTCTCTAGAAATTTCTTCCTTCAAGAAAGAATGGCACTATGTCAGTCCTCTAGTTAAGATGAAGAGACCACAACCATGTTCAGGAGATGCTTATGACAGGTGTGCAGGGACACATTTTCTTGAAGGAGGCCATTTGGAGCCAGTAAGGGTTTGGCTCTCATTTGGCTTCCTGGATGAAGTCGTAAGTAGGAAAAACACTTCCAAAGAGTAGCCCAGGACACCTGGGTCTGAGGCATAAACAAATCACTTGATGCATTCAGTGGACACCTGAAGATTACGTGCAGGAGTAATGGTTTAACCATCCCCAGGGAACTTGCACAGCTGGTAATACATGTAAATATTTATGTGTGTGTATATACACACATACCTATGATACAGGGAGAGAGCAGAAGGGTTGACAAAGAAAGAACCTCACCAGAACTGAAGACAGAAATGAACTCCTTTAGTACCAGCAAACAGTCGAGGATGACTGTGAGTGACACCTGGTAAGAGAAGTTGACCTGACATCAGCCTGACACCACAACCCATTCTGCCAGGTCTGTGCATCTCTTGCGGCTCTTCATACTGTTGACAAGAAGTTTCCTCCCAAAAGAAAAGCACAGATCTTCTAGTGACAAGACTTATCCAGCAGCTATGGCATGAGATGGGACATACCAAAACTGACATGGCAGAGGGCTGCCAAGCCCTGCGTTAGCAGGCTATGTCAGGGTGCAGCAAAGGCTGTTTGCCCCCTGAGCGAAGGGTAGCCATCAGCTGGCAGTGCAGGGCCCTCACATGCCTGAGCCCAGCCCCACAGTGCCTCAGTGAGGTGAGCAGGCAGACCTGAGACTTGTCCAACCAAGGGTTCACCATCAGGTGAGTTCATAGTGGCGAGGCAGAACTGAGGTCAGGCCCAGTGAGAGGAACCATGATCAAACACAGCCTACTGTTCTGCAGGCAGGTCCATAGGGATGAGACAGGTCCAATGTTGAACTGGGAAGTCACCTGGTGAGTTAGGGTCTGGATCAATGTCTGTAATAATGCACAGGCATGGCTTGTAGCTGAGCTGAAGATCAGCACCCATACAGCATAGCTCAGCCATGGACTAAAAGTCCAGGGTTGAGCTGAACTGAAGCTCCTTTGCCCACAGGTGTGGGTAGAGCCCCCAGGTGACACAGGTCATGGCCATTAAGGCCTATCAGTGCAGACAGAGCTATGACAGACCGAGAGAAAAGAACAGTCCTGGGACATTTTGTTGATGGACAAGTATGTTTCTTCGCTCTACAGCTGCTTCAGCTATCCTATCATGAACAGTAATACGGATTCTCTCGCTTACTGGCAAGTGGAAATCATAAAATTAGACAGAATGAGGGGACAGTAGCCTCCCTGACCATGGAATTGGGATTAAATCAATAGGGAGGAGCTGACCTTACTAATTAACTTCTGAGAAAAAAATCACAGACATTAACAGAAAATGGGGCTGAGGGATCATGAAAGGTCATCAAGACTGTTCTGCTGGCCTGAAGAATCAACTTAAAACTATCCCTCACAGGTATCTGATTTACCTGTTCTTGAACATAAAGAGGACTTCAGAACTTCCCCAGGCAATGTGTCTCTATGCCTCGTCATCTGAGAGCAAAAATCCAGTTAGAAAACTTTTGTTGCTATTTGAACTGAACTTGTTTTGCAGTAGACCTAGAAAAAGCTTTATTTTCTTCTCTTTTTAATTTCTTGTATATTTGAAGACAGCTGTATTTCCTCAGTTTTCTCCTCTTCAGATTAAACAACCCCTATTTATTCAATATTTTCTCACAAATTGATCATTCTTTTGTTCTCCTCTGGAACCTGTCCGGTTGCTCAGAATCCTTCTCCAGTTGTTGTGCCCCAAACGAGAGAGAAGCCTTTTCCAGTGTCGAGAAGAATAAAAGAACCACTTTATACTCTTTACAATTAATTCAGCTTTCTATACATCCCAGTACATCTTTTATGAAGGTATGCTGTTGTCTCATGTGCAACTTGCAATCCACTTACCATCTCCAGTTCAGACCTGTTGCTTTGTCAATCCTTCCTCACCTGCGTTTATACAAAAGATTACTTTTATATAAACACAGAAGTTACTATTCATCTTCAGTGTCGTTACTTGTCATTCTTTGAACCAAATTCTTAAAATAATTTCTTCAGATCACACTAGTATCTTGTAGTATTTTCCAGGTAGTATCACTAGCATTAAATGCTAATTCCATCTTTTCAATCATGAATCAAATATTGTATAGTCCCTGGAGAACATGCTTTAACACATCCAGTCTGACAGTGAAGCATAATTAACTGTTTCTTGAGAACAGCTTTCCAACCAATTATACGTCTGTCTAATAGAAATTTCATCTTGTCTACATTTCCCGATCACAAATGACTCAAGTGAAGGAAAGAACACTAACATGGATCCAGACATGCCTGAAGGGCTTGTCTGGACACAAGAGTGATAGTCACTTGCGCATGACTTCAGCTGAAGTGTAAGATCTCGTATTTATTGACTAACATGAGAAGGAAGGATATTGGTGGATCCTACGATTGTCTGAACAGTATTCTGTTGTTCTTGCCTCTTCTCCTTAGAGTCAGAGAGTCCAACAGTTGCAAATGATACACATTGGGAGATTTGCTCCTTTGAAAGTCCCATGAATCAGGTAGTTGCCTAGGTCAAGAAACACAATTTGTGTTTTGTATTATGCACATTCTCATTATTTTCAAACCATTGAGGAGGATTTTCTATGCTCTGGAGAAATCCTGTATGTAAGCACTTCATAGTAGAAAAGCCACTATAAAATATTTAGATAAGAAAAAATTTTGTCTATATAAATAAGTAGGCATCCTGATCGCCAAGAGTGATACATTAATCCCTGTTTTGATTAGGCAGGGTTACTGTGACTAAAGTCATCATACTTCAGTGTTGCTTATGACTGAAGGAATGCAAAATGTTTTTGCCATCCTCTAGTACCAGGAACCATCTCCTACAAAACAAGACAATGTGCTGGGAAACTGAGTGTATTGCTGCCTATTCCCTTCCCTTTCCTGTTGAAGCAGGCTACTGATGGAAGGGTTGCAGAAAAGGAATGCCATAGCAGACTAGTAGAGGAACAAACTGCCGAGAAATGTTTTGATATACAGTATCCAAGGCTAGATAGTGGTGATGCGTAACTAAAATGGGTTGAAATAGATTAACTTACCCTTGAGCAGACGGATAGAAAAAGATAAAAGAAGAATGCAATGTCACCACCATCTTAAATGCACAGCTGGCTGCATCCAGCACATCTTGTGAAAGGTCATAGTTACGTGAGGGATCTTATTTAGCTTCACCATGAAATCCACCTGTGACCTGGTGGTCACTCATAAGCTTGGGGTGCTACAAGCGGTAACTAACAGCTAGGCAAGCAATAGGAAGCTAAAGGATGCTGAAGATTTTTTTTCAAGTATATTTG